CTGTAGCAACTTCAAACAGTTCTCTCGCACTGCAGTTTTAGCATTCGGGTGCTGATCACATCAGTCCCTGCACTTTTGTTATTCTCTACACCTTTGATGGCTTTCCTCCATCCTTGTGTTTGCGTTGGCTTCCACTTTCATCTCCAATGTCTGTTTCACGATGGTGTTAGCTATTCATTTGAGAGAGTCCAGCCATTCAACCTTCTGAAGAAAAGGCCTTCCCTTCACTTCTCTGGCCTGGCTGCCTCAGTGGGTAGTCCATGATTTGTGCCTTTCATCACACAACTATGGAGGCCCCTTTTTGGTCAACCACTTTGGTGATAGGATAAGGATTAGTGTATCATGATTTCATTTTTATCAATCTCTCTTCTGTGTCTTCCCATTTAGTTGAACTGCAGCAGTTTTTGTTATAGCAGGTATTTATTTCATAGATGGTTTCATCTCTGATCATTGCAAATGATGAAAGGTAGGCCACCTCATTTCCATCTTATGGGCTTTCCACAGAAAATATAGATAGATAGATAGATAGATAGATAGATAGATAGATAGATAGATAGATAGATAGATATAGATATAGATATATTCTCTGAATAGGAATGAGACCTGGGTTTTTCTATCTCTCTATCTGAGACTTTATATAAGCTATTCATCCCTAAGGCTACCACATTTTTTGTTCCACCTGCAATCCTGCCCATTAATGTTACATGTTATTTTGCCCAATTTAATAGTTCACATTTTATTTCAAAAATCCTAGTAGTAAAACTGTGATTTTTTAAATGGCAATAGAACCCCTTGTGGTTCTTCTCTAAACTAATTCAGTGTTTCCTACAAGCAAAGTGTGGTAAGAACAAAGCTGTGTGGGGCAGGGATGCCAAATGAGTATCCCTTAAATGTGAAGGAGGTTCATTTTAGAATTATTCATAGGAACCACTCCCTTATGCTATGGTAAACACCTGTGATACAACCTGCCTGGACCTCTCTCCCTTCCCCCATCTGAGTGAACAAAATATTAAAAGGTACAAGAAACATTTAAATAAATTAAGGGGGAAAAGAGCCATAAAAAAAAGACATAACCTCAAAATATAGTCTTAGCTTCCGAGGCTTAGGTCATAGTGGGGACCAAGGTCTCTGACAGATACCCCATGTGTCCCTGTCACACTGAAAGGACCAGAAAATAGGAAACAATCATGTATGTTCATGCTCGGTTTATGGTCTGCAACATAAGAGTTAGTTAGTTTCCTGTAGATTTTTATGAGTTGCCATTCATTGACAATTAACTGGTGATTTGTTCGTGGTGTATTGTTGAAGAGCCATGCAAATGATCTCTTGTGGCAGAAGTGAAGAGATAACATAAAAGTGTATAAACCGAAAGGAAGACATAATTAGTGATGAAAACCTGAAAAAGGCATTAGACGGCCTCTTGTTTCACTTTCAAAAATCCTCTGAAGGAAGATTTCTCTTATACTTACCAAACTGAGTTCCTTAAAATATAAATTCTGTCTAAAAGTCAGGAAATCAGTTTTCAATACAACAACAGTATACAATCGTCATCATCATCATAGTAATAATAATAATAAATTTAACAGCAATTTGCAAGCGGCCATGGTAATTTTAGAACAAAACGCATTATTTAGGAACCTAGGCAATATGTTGAGTGAATGTGATAGAAATTTGAACATGTGGCCCCAGGACGTTCACTCCGTGGCTCCCATTCTCTGTCTAGCCCAGAGTGGAGAGAATTTATCTTGGGGCCTTAGGCTCCTGCCTGGGAGAATGTGCTGTATGGATTTAGCCTGACAGGTATAGAGGCAGCAGTTTCCATGACTCCACTAAATGAGCGGAGTGTTCACGGATATTTTGCAGCTGCCCTGGAAAAAGGCTAGAAGTTTTGAAAAAGAGTTGTCACAGCCATGAAGAAGGTGTCAGTGTCGTGTGTGTGCACATAGGAAGCCAACTTGCAAAAACCTGTCATTTCACCTGCACAGAATGAAAACAATGCCAAGTTTTTCTTTCTTTTTTCCCTCCCATTAAAGTTACTTTAACTGCTAACCTTTCCTTCTCCAGACTTCCAGCAGGTGAAACATGGTCATATAAATAGCAATCGTTATTATATAAACAGCCAAGACCTTAATGTAATGACATATATTTAAACCTCAGCCCTGCATAATCATTATTCAAGGAAACATTTACACACACATTGTAGCTTAAAAAGGGAAGGGGAGTATTCAACAGTTTTTATCTTATTGATGCTTGGCTAATGGAATGAAACACCCGTATATAAAACAGTTATGCTACTATGTTAAGCTTTTTATTCTCCCAACAGTCTTCAAAATATTGCTCATTGCAGTAACTAAGGCCCTGACTGCAAGTCCTGACATAATTAGTTATTAGTTGAGGTATGTATACCCAAGCCACATTCACCGACATTATTAGAAAATGGGCTATTCCATAGAAAGTAATTTTCTGAGGTGTAACTCTATAAGTGCCTAAACTGCTTCACTTTATTTGGGGGTGTGGGCAGCCTTTCTAAGTATATTTTGTAAGTCCCTGTCTTAGAGTTCATGGGTTAATCCATTCATCAAGACTTAAAGTCAATATAAACATTAATTACCATGGTGTGTGCAGTATGCTGCAATACAGGATGGCCTCCGACTCTTAGCAGCCTAACTGGTTGTTTGCCCCGATGCTAAATAGCTCCCAGTTGCCATAGTTTTTGAAAGCTTATATCTAACTTTTGATCATTTTTAAATCTCTTCCTTCAGTATGTATTGTTTCTCCTTGCTTCAATGCTTGCTTTCTTCTATGCCTTTTTATATATTTTACATAGTGGCAAATCAGATTTCAAGGTTGTCAGAATTCATCTTACTTAAGAATCAATAGTCTGATACTAGAAGACTTCTCATTTTAAGTACAGGGAAAAACTTTAATTCTTGACATTTTAGTGGTATCTTTAATAAACTATTTTCTTCCTCTTGCTTTCTTTCTTTTTTTTTTTTTTTTGAATGTGTTCCATTTCATAAGACTTTTGAATCAGAGATCTCTAGCTGTGGAAAGAGGTATAGCATTTCTTGTTACTTCCCCGATAACTGTAATTTAACATTAATTAAACTTTATATAACCATTTGCCCTACCTGTGAATATACTGGAATCTGCACTCCTTTTACTAGTTAAGTGACAATTTTTGTACATAAGTAAGAGTAGGCCTTACTAACTTCCTTTTTCAAATTTCTCTTATGGTCTGTCTCACCCACAGCCTACTCTCAGAAAATAGCTGATGCTTAACTTAGTTTTAAAAATAATTATTACGCACAAGCTACACAACTTTCTAAGGACTATGCTTGTCTTTCATATTCTTGGAAATGCTTCTTTGCTTTTCACACCTTGGTTTAAAAAAAAATCAAGAAAGACCAAGTAAAGCATAAATGATCAAACAAATTTAGTAACGAATCTGAAAATAGAACTCTTCCTAGATAAGAATTCTAAGTTCATTGCAGTTTCCTATGGGATTATTTTGTTGATGGAGGAATTTGTAGCTCATAATTAGAAGCCCTTTCATTCATTCATTCATTGTAGCATTGGCATTTATTGAATGCCTCGTGGGTCCCATCAGGGATGCACAGGCATATCAGACACAATCACAGGAAACAGACGTTTTGGCCAGAATTTGAAGGTTGCTGTAAGTCAGAGCCCAGCTGCCATATGTTAGAAGCATTCCCCCAGTTAAACATTGAAAGCTTTAAAGTGAAGCTTAACTTGTTAAACTAGCTTTGTTCTTCTAGGCCAACCCCAAATATTTCATGTTCTGGAAGGAAATCTGGAGAAGCAGTGTCATAATGTCTTCCTTTTCCCTGTCAACTCATTCAGTAACCCTGTCCAAGATCATTTAGAATAGCCTGGAAATAATCGGAAATGATGTGCCCCGGTGGAAAACACTTGGAGGATGCCTGTTGGCAAATGATGTTTTAAATCCTAGGTTTAATTTAGACCTGTCGCTGGGTTTCTTGTGAGAATTTGTCTTTAAAAAAAAAAGTCGTTTCAAGTAAAGTTAATATGAATGTAATTTAGAAAACAATGAAAGTTCCATAAAAAATAATGATTATGAGTTCTGAGGTTTTACCTAGTTGTTCTGCTTTGTAATCAAATACACAGCCTCTCTCCCTCCCTCCTATTAGCTTGCATTGCAGTGAATCATCATACTTGGCATCTGCTAAAGACCAATAATCTTAAATAGTGTCACTTAATCATATCTGATCATCATAATTTTGCAAGGCAATCCTCTGTATAAATTTTGAGTGATGTAACCATCGTATTGTTTATGCAGTTTCTTTTCCACTGTGTTTTAGCATTTAGCTTATTTGGTTAGACTGACTGACACTCAGGAGAATCCTGATCATGTTATTGAAATTATTCATTTTTATTGCCTTGAAACCATAAGAGGCATGATAGATCCTTGTAAGAAAACATTTCAGGCAGAATCATGATATGTTTATTAATTAAATTTAATTATTTGTTTTATTCAGGAGTGTTTGAAGAGAAAAATAATCTTGTTTCCCAGAGAGTAAAAACTGTTATTGAAGAATCACTTGTAAATGTTCAGAATATATTTTTGAAATGGAGTAGACAAATCATCGGTTCTTAAGAAGACCTGTACATAGTATATTGTGCATATAACCTTTGATCCTGTAATGTGGCTAGATTGATAGAGTGACAAACATCTACTGCTAAAGTGAAAAATTCTCTTAACTATTTGGTTTCCTGAGTATATGACACCAAACACTTGAAGAGTCTCTACTGTCCTTATCACTAACATGCTGTACATCAGTGTATTTTATAGTGTTTTCCCAGTTAGAAATACCTAGTTGTGGTTCCTAAGCCATTATAACTCAATGACTATTGCCTATCAGCTGTGTGCCAGATATTGGTGGTTGTCATATTTATTGTCTGACTTGAAAGTCTCTAAGAAATCTTGAAAGATAGGTATTATTTTTCCAATTTTACAGGTGAGGAAACTGAAGCACAAGGCATGTAAGTAACTTGTCACCAGACATAAAGCTGCTAAGTATTAGAACTGAGATGGGAAATCAGAATTTCCAGCTCCAATTCCAGTGCTCTTTCCTCAGTACCTACTAGTTTCAAAGAAGAATTCCTTTATTCAACAAATATTTATCGAACATCTGGTATATATGTCAGGCACTAGGCTAAACCTTGCTGTTACAAGAGTTATAAAAGTGAATAAGACAGGTGTGTTCTCTGCCTCTTAAAGTCTAAAATAAAGTGAAGAAGACAGAAGTGAGAAGAAATGATTACCAAATAATTGTAAAGAAACAGTTTTACAGAAAAGGAAGAATACCATGTCAATCAGAGGCCAAAGCTCACCTGATATAGGCTAACAGTTTGATCAAGATCACTTGGCTTTTAAACTGAGACGGTACAATAGCAAAAATGATTGGTTGATTTGGTTGCTTGATTGACAAATAGTTTTGGTTCTCATTATTGTATTTGCAAACTTGCCTTCTCACTGAAGTTTATTTATAAAACCCCAAATCAGTATTGGCTGCCATGCTCAGGCATGCACAGGTGTGCAGCATCCTAACACACCCTCCCAACTGAGGTCTGTTGAGGTGATGCTATGCCTTCATGTTTCAGCCCTTGTATTGTAAATAAATGTCCTTTTCGGTCTACTTAATGCCACGTTTTTCTAACGTTTTGAGTTTGTGGATGATCTGACTATTTAAAGTGCCCCCCAAATATAGTGCTGAAAGGTTGGCAAGTGTTCCTAAGTAAAGGAAGGCTGTAATGTGCCTCACAGAAAAAATGCATGTGAAATAAGCTCTATTCTGTGCTGTTAGCTATGACATCTATGTTAATGAATCAACAATTATATATCAAATAAGATATCCTTAAATTAAAAAAAACAACAACATTACATAATGTTGACAAAAATATTATCAGCACAGACTCATGGAACCTAACCATGCATTTCCCCTAGGGGCAGTATTTGCTAAGTCTTTGATCCCAGTGACTTTTTAGACTATAACTACCTCTAATAACAGGAATTGATAATAGATAAAATATCTGACAATACTAAGTGCTGGTGTGGATATGGAGCAACTGGAACTCTCATACATTGCTAAGAGGAATGTTAATGGCACAGCCAAAACCATGGGGCATTTCTTGTCACATAAACTCCCAGAACCCCTAATGATTGAGCAGTCTTGTTCCTAGTTATTTACCCAAGTAAAATAAAAATTTATGTGCGCGCGCGCACACACACACCCCCAAAAAATCTATATGAGAATGTTCATAGCAGCTTTATTTGTGATTACCAAAGAAATGGAAAAAACATAAGTGTCCTTCAATTAGGGAATGAATGAATAAACTAGAATGAAATAGTACTCAAAAATAGGAAGTAACAAATTGTTGATATGCTCAACAACATGGGATGTATCTGAAATGAATTATGTATGCCAAGTGGTAGAAGCCAGAGATAAATTTTCATTTAAGTGATATAATATTTCACTTTGGTGATATTCTTTAAAGGCAAAATTAAAGGGATAGAAAAACTGTTGTGTGGTTGCCAGGATCTGGGGGATGGGAATAATTTGGCTACAAAGGGACACAGGAAAATTTGGGAGGAGAGGAAGATGGAACCATTCCATGTCTTAATTGTGTGAATGGTTATGAAATTTAATTCCTTCGTCAAAATTTGAAGAACTATATACTAAGGGCGAGTTTTACTATGTGTAATTATACTTTAATAAGAGGTGAGAAATGGTGTCTGAAGAACGAATCAAAATGCAATTATTTTAGTTTGTCACAAGAATGTGAGAAAATACTGTTAAAACAAAGTACTCCATGTGTTTTCCTCTAGTTCTAGTTATAAAATACTGTGTGTGAAATATACACTATGTAGTAATTTATGTTACACTATGAATTAAATGGCGAACGCTATGAACATATAAAACTTATCTCCTTTTTTCTTGCTTTGTTATGTTTAAGTTTAACATGGTTCTTACTGGTTTACAGGAAAATGTTTCATGCTGATCGTTTGACATGTGGTGAAATCTATAAACTGTACTATAATTTTAATATATGCATTATTCATGTGAGGACAAAATTTTTGCTTAATTTGAGTCACCAAGTTAAATGGCATCCTAACCTTGGGATAACAGGGAAAACAAAATAAAGACAACAGAATACATATGATAATGTGTTTTATGTTGCTCAGACATGATTACTGCATTATGGGCAACTGTCAGACACAGATGGGTAAACTGCTCATTTCCTTGGAAACAGGAAGACCTATCACATCACCTATTTGAGTAGCTTCCAATTCTGATATTTCCCTTTTTCATTCTTCCTTGTCTATAATGGCTTTGCCACATTATTTTTGTTGTATTTACAAGAACCAAGAAGTTGTAAATCAAACTGCCATTACAGTCTAGTTTATGCAAATCAGTTTCACTGTACAATATGTACTTAGCCTTTGGAATAATGGGCAGATGGGTTTTCTGAAACTATTATTATACTTAGGTCTTTTTACCAATCCAATGGCATTATCAGTAACTTCTCAATAATGTGCACCATAACTTAACACAACCAAGTCAATCATCCTTACTTGCATTATGATATTTAAAAGTTGCCTTATATTTTACTTAAGAATGTTGTCAAAACACCTCAAGACTGTGATTGTACTAGGTCTTTTTATAAATAACAAGGCCATGCATGACTATAATAACATAATAAACATAGGTAACAATTTATTCAAAGTATATTGAAAATTAAGTGGCTCTGCGGAAGATTATTTATTATCAAAGACATTTATTAGGTGACTAAAATAGGTAAAGGAATTGCTATACTATATGACCTGTTGCAATAACTATCAAAAGAATAGCAGTGATAGGATTTGGAAACATAAGAGTCAACATCCCTATCTTGTGCTTTTTCTGTTGACAAGCATGATTTATGAAATTATATTTTATATTTTTGAAGATCTATTTTATTTGTGGTTTCAGATATGCCAGGACTGACTTTTGTAGTTTTTAGTTTCTTTGTTGTCCTAGCTAACATTTCATTGCCCATATTTAGAGTTGTCTTATTATTCCAAAATAGGAAAGAATTCCTCTCAAGAGTTAATTTAATGTACAGCCAGTGTTTCTTAAATATACAAATGGCAACATTGTTTTCAAACAGGATAATTGCGACCGTGTATGTTTCTTCATTAGTAAGTAATTAAATAATTTACTAAATTGTGCAATAATTCATAATGAAACATGCTAACCCTGCTCAATTACAGCAGCTAGTGATAGAAGAATTTCTTGCATACATGCTTAAATTTTATTAGAGTAGTAATTTTCAATTTCTGAAGATGTCTGTTTGCCATTTTCAAAATACTAGGTGGTACTCAATTCAAGAAAAAATTAATAAACTTTTTGAGCGTTGAGTGTAATGGTTAAGAGCACATACCCTAGAATCAGTTTATATATAGAGGTTCTTACAATTCCACCCCTTAGTAGCCTTGTATTCCTGGGTAAGTTACTTCGTTTCGCTGTGTCCCAGTTTCCTCATCCATAAAAAGAGAATTTTGAGTGAATTAAATGTTAAAACAAATATTTAATAAATGTCAGCCACAGAGTAAGAACTGTTAACCAAAGGGAGAGGTAAAAGCAATAGAGACTGTGTTGGATAATTATTGGAAAGCTATTCTGATTTAGGAAAATTATCTTTGGGGACACAAGGTTTAACTGGATACGCAAAATCAGATGTGAATTGTGGAGCCTCTGAATGGAATACCTAATGAGGTCCATCTCCATCTTATAAAACAGAGGGATAGCTTTTAATGTAACAGTATTACTTTTCTAAATGTGAATATAAGACATTTAGAAAAATTGAACATTCAAAAAAAAATCAGAAAAATACACCTGAGTCTGACCTTGTTTCAGTACTCATGGCATACTTCTCTGTGAGATGGGACATAAATAATAAGTGTACTTCAGAGGGCAGGGAATAAACTTCTGATCAGACAGTCAGCCAATGAATCCCATCCTATATGCTGGAGCTTAAATGTGAGCATCTAAACCACTATTGACATGAGACACAACTGTCTGAAATGCCAATAGTTATAAAATGAGTATTTCATAATGCAGAATAATTGATTACTTTGCTTGACTGAACAGAAACATATTTTCTCTAGAGAGCAAAATAATGCCAGCATTTGCTCCTGAAAGGCTCCTAGCTGCGAGAATCGGATTTCCCAGCAATGCCTATGTCATTCTGCACTCCTTGATCATGCTTGACAAAAATAAGGGAAACCATCTGTAACTGCTTATCCTTTCTCCATTACCTGAAAATATATTTTTAAGATAGCTCTTAAAAAGTAAAAGATGGCCTATATCTGAAGCATCTATATTAATAGAACTGTCTCAGATAATTTTCAGAACTGAAATGGATGAGAGACAAAATCAAATAACATTCAATTTATCTTGTTCATCCTAAAATGCTCTGCTTAGCTTTTCGCTCTGATGAAGTAATACCCACTTCAGTTTTATTCTTCCTCGGTGTGCTGTGATGTGGAACTCTTTTGCGCTATGTGTTTTATTAAGTGTAATTTAACATTATGACTATCAAACCAACTATTAATCCTTACAATAAGAATATGAAATAGGCAAGCTGCAAAGAGATTTATTTTCTAAAGAACAATTCCCTTTTTCTGCCCTCAATTACTTTGTCAAGACTCATTCTCTGAATGTGTATAGTGTATGGAGCTCAATACTTGGAGGGAAAGCAGAAAAAATAGCTACAACCTATATTTTGAGGTTTCTCTCCCCTTATCCAGGTGGACTTTATGCTACTACCAACCTTCGCTACAACTTGTTCCATACATGAGAAATACATTTTCTATCTGTGTAGAGTTTTACCTGTGTTCTACCCTGTTTCTAAGATGCCTTTCATTATTTTACTATCCACTAGATTCAGTCTGTCCTTCAAGATCTAGTTCAAGTGGTACCTCCTTCATGAAGTCCCTC